TTCGACGCAATGTCGGCCGAGTGCGAGAAGAGTATAACCGCGGAAAAGCCAAGCCAGAACCGGCAATGCCAAGTCATCGTCGAAGCTTAAAGGCTACAGACTTCCACAAAACGGCCGAGCAACACAGCACTGAGTGGCAGAATGTCTGGTAGCACAGCTCGGGGTGCCAAAAGCCGTGGCCCACCCTTACTCACGGCTTTGGAGGCCTTGGCCAAACGGCGGGGTCGAAGGGAGCTTCGAGACAGCTGGCAGGGCTTCTCCAGCGGGCAACCAGAGGATCGGTTTCCGGCTCTCGAAAAAAGCGCCATCTATAGGGTCAAGTCAAAAAATAAATCCACTTTTGCGCTTCATGACATCACAGACATCTGATACAAATGAAGTATCGAGCCAGAGGACCGATATCGCCAAAAGACGGAGGAACTCGTGCATCAGGAGTTTTGTTTGCATTAGACGCGGCAAGTCGAGCACAGTGTACACTGTTGGACAAGGGCGTACGCAACCACCTTGCCGGATATGCGGCTACAGCTCCCAACCGCAATGCTTACAATGCATGGCCTTTTCTCAGTTTCACACATGCAGCAGCGTCGAGAATGGTGTTGCCAGCTTTTGATCTTCAAATCTTGATGGGTCTTCGGTTTGGCCCCATTTCCAGACAGAGAAAGTGCCAGCAGAGGATATCACTAATTTGGCCAAAATATCTGCCAAGATAAACCAGCAGAGATTAATGGTACTTCGGCCAGTGCAGGTATGTCGACCCAGCGAATGCGTCGATATCACCATGCTGAAAGAGTGTCTCCGTAGAGTGGTGACGCCACAGCATGCACCACTGCCATGCTGATTTTTTTTCAAACCTGGCTCCGTTCCCTTAGGCACAGCATTGGACACCCACACACACACACACACACACTCACTCACTCACACGCGCGCACACACACACGCACACACATACACACACTCACACACACAATCTTATGTCTGTCTCGGTAAATCTCCGACAAGGGGCTGCTTGAGCTTTCACATGATTGAACTCGAGATCATGTCAATGTAAAGCCACTGCATACCACTGCTAAGGCCGGCAGTTCTCCGTGCTTGCTGTACCACCAGGGTCCAGACAGATGATGAAAGTATCGCCGAGATTGCAAACTGCGCTAGGCAGAGCAACAGCGGAAGGGGCGCGTGGCTTGTGCACCTGACTGGCAGATACAGAACCGTCGCAACACAGAGTCGCAAGTCAACCTTGAAGCCAGCCTTTTCGCAAATATAATCATCAAGAGTTGGGTGATCACCAAGAGCATTATCCTGAGTCAGAGAAGAAGAATCTAAACATGAGGATGCACTTAGTGTGGTTTTGGACTTCTACGGCACAGAAAAATACAGAAAGCGATTGCAAGTCGACTCCTGGAGCCGGGGATCCACCCAAGCATCACAAGTGTCTCGCGCAGCCAATCTCTGGAGCTCTGAACCGGAGCCTTGCAAAATCAGGCTAGTGATACTGATAACACCCAGCAGGATTCAACAAAATAGTAGCAATAGTGACAGGCACGATCGCAAAGTGTTCTGTCATGACAGTGCTGAATACGCAATCCTAGGAAATTAGTCGTGTGATTGTGTCTGTTGTTATCGGGCTCTTTGATGCATTCTTCAAAACCGCCCCAGGTGCTCTTCACACTATTATCAGTACCAAGATGCCCAACCAACATCAATATGAACACCCTGCGCACGACTCGCGGACTTTTCGACACACGGCCTCCGCGCATCCCCTTTCCGTTGTCTCCGCCGGCTTTGCAGAACTTTTGACCTTTGCCGCCGGGCTTGCTGCACGGTGCCGAGCCTGTCGGGTATGCTGTCACGACTTTTTTATACTTCGGTATCTGCGAGCTTGCCGGTCAGCGGCCTTCGCCTTGGGTCGATGTGGTGGGACGCTTGGCTGCTCGTCCATTGCTGCGCAGAGGGCTTCGCGAGGTTCATTCCTCTGAGTGGGGAAGGGACACTGGTGACTTTGCCGGCATGCGCTAAAAAAACGGCTGGGAGTTCGCAGTGTTGCCATCTCAAAGGTTTCACAACAATGGTTGTAGTCAAGACTTCAAGTGAGCATTGAGGTTAGCATGATCCCCGCGCGCTACTGCTTGCTCTCCATGTTTATCGCTACTGCTACTGCAATCTGCTGTACTACTGCGACTACGACAACGATTCCTGCTGGTTCATGAGCAAACAAGTAAGCCACTATTGAACTGGCTCAAACGAAAATTTCGTGATCTGAGCACTCGGCACTTGCGCCAGTGAGGGCTTGTCCTGTGAGAGAACTTGAAAACATCTCCTCAAACATGCACACACAAGTGATTCGGTGACATTTGCCTGTCCTCTTGCGGCTCCTGTCAGAGCGACAGGCATGTACCCGTGGCATTCTTGTCTTGTGCAGAGACAAAGAGTCTGTCAGCACAGGACACAGTAGAATCTGCTAGGCCTCGATGGCTGCGTGAATAGTGGCTATTGCAGCCTCCAGGAAAGGTTGGAGTTTGGCCAAGCAAGCGACCACTGTGCAAGAGGTCTCATACAATCGTGTTGACATGATCGGAAGCCTGCAGTTGCTTGAAAGACCCACTAATGAGTTGGCGAAGGTGCTAACATTGACCCTGAATCAACCGTTGCACGGCTCACACAACCAAGCCTTGTGATCCGCCATGAGATCGGCGTTGTGGTTGTGGACGATGATGGTGTGATGCAGATCCCGCTGTCAAGGCGCACGGCAATCAAAGACTTGACATGCAACACTCAAGGTCGTTTCCCCGCCCCATCCCGCCCTCCCCCCCTCTGCCACGCCCACCTTGAGCGTCTGCAACTCCTGGATCGGAGCTGCCTATGCTGCTGTACGTCGAAAAAGAGGGTCAGTCGTCCTGCTCTCTCTTCTGCTCCATCTTCGTCAGGAGCCTCTCTAACTTGTCCTGCTGCAGCTATGTGTGTTGATCGAAAGGGCTCACCGCGTCAAAGCTAGGAAGCACGAAGTCGCACGAGACAAAACTGCAGGACAGCTGCCCGGACTGAAACACGTGACGTTCACAATGATCCGTGTTGCGAATAATGTCTGCAGTAGGTCCTGCATTACTGCTTCGCCTCCTTTCGCCTGTTCCAGACTGCGCGGCAGGTTATACTCAAGTGTTATGTTCGACATGGCTCTGCAAATGTGCCTTGTCCTTCTGGCTAAGAAGCGTCTCTACTCGTCTCACCTCGAAGCCAGCAAGGAACGAGAATCGGCCGGCAAGGTGGAAAGCCTGGGACACATTTCACAGGCCTTGTCTGCAAGGGCATTCATAGACGATTCCATGCGCCGCAACTCTGCGACCACCTTGCCAGGCTGATGCAAGCATCAACCACTTGAATGCATTGACAGGATCTGAGCGGGCCAACACTCATGATAGCCGCTGAAGCGAGCAGCCACAATCAACACAGGCGAAGCAGCCAAGTAAATCACAACGACAAATCCACATTAGCTGCTATTTTCGTGGCTACTGTGTCACCCAGAACACAACATCGGAATGAACAGCATCACATAGGCACAATGCAGTACACCTGCGGCTGCATGCAAAGCCCTCTCTGCTGGTGCCGCCACCACTCCTATGCATGTACAGATCGGGAAAGACTCTGTTCGGCTGCCTGCAATTCAGCATGGCCGGTGGCATGATTGACTCTTTGGCTGAAGTAGCTCAGCATGTCCTCAAACTCCACACGAAACATCATGAAACACAGACATATCTTGGCCGAAGTGGCCTCTCAACTCTACCTGTGGGAGCTTACGAACCTGAGTCTGCTTGTCCTGCGGCATCCGTAATCTTGGTTCATCCAGGCCTACCACCAGCACAGAAAACAGCAGATCTTGAGAAGAATGGTGAAGTTCTGACCTGGAGGCCCCTGTGGAACAGCTTGCTCATAGCCAGGTGGTGCAGCTGGGTACGCGGGAGGCGGGCAGTGTGGTACATGCGCCTGGGCCGTATCAAAATTGCAATGGAGGGGAAGGAAACAAATGCCGCAGTGCCTGTGGCACCGCCATTCTGTACCATCAAGACCTTGGATGTCCCAACATCATGAAAGCCGACAAGCGATCTGCACCCGCCGCTGATCTTGATAGGGAATCCTATAACCAGCTCGAATACCGCCTCAACTGAACTAGTTTTGAATCTCTTAAGCTTGAGATAGCCATTTTGCTGAGGTGATGTGGAATTACAACGTCAGTGTGAGCGGGGGTGAAACAGTAAGAGTCGGTGCGACATTCATCCCTTCCTGTCCAGCTAAACAACCCCTTTCCCCAAAACATGGAAGATTCTGGCTGAACCTGTGCACTATTTCGGGGGTGCACATGTCTTCCCAGCAGGAGACAGGCTGATTGACTGAGACAGCCTGTGCGCTTGAGGAGGAGGATGCTATGGCGTATATACAGATAGAACAAAACTCCGCTGGATGCGTCTTCGACGTGCCGAAGCCAAAGATGCTACTCTTTACATGGTTTAACCCGCATGTTGCACCGCTCACCAAGTATGCTGTCATACACATCTGCAGGGAGTCCAAGATTTTCAACCGAACAGCACCCGAAAACCTCTTCCAGCCGCTGACCATGAATTCATCACTCCAGCCCTTTGGACACCAATATTTTGTCCAAAAGTTATCCTAGCAGCGCTACAGCTTTTGACACAAACACCAAGGCTGCATGCCTTTAGCCCAGCAGCTTCATCTTGCCCCAGCTAGGTCTTCTGAAACTGCGAGCCAAAGTAAGTCCCAACCCACGACACAATGCAGGACACGAGAGAGAGCATGAAGCCAGCAGCTGAAGCAGCAGCTTCCATCACAGGCTTCGGCACTTTTCTTCGACAAAACGATGGGCAGGGGTTCCTGCAAGAAACGCCGATCATGGCTGCTTAGCCACGCAGCTTGCACCATTAACACGAGTTTCCGAGATGAGCGCGGCAGGTCTTCTCCCGCTCCCACTGCGCAAGACAAGCGCGCTGGGCTCACTCGGTGGACTTCTGAATCTTTGCCTCGGAAGTCTTCGGTCGAACAAGGAATTGCAAAGCGTCAACACTGCCGGCACTTCGGCTTCCCCTGAATCTAGTATTTGCATCTGAATTTCACAACCTCAGGCGGCGGCCATCTTGTCTGCAGTTGTGATCCCCATCTCGGTCTCGTACTTGCTGAGTTCCTACAGATATCGGTACTGAGTCGAGGTAAACTGAAAGCCAGCATGATCTAGCACGTGGCCTCAGCAATCTCTTCCGCCTGCGGCTTGCGTGACCCCTCGATCAACCTGCACCAGCATGCTTCTATGCATGGATGCTGCAAACCGGAGACACAAAGACAGAGAGCGCACGTGAAAAAAGCACTGCTTCCAATACCATTCCACATGCGGAAGTCATGTAAGGACTTCTGGCAGGATTGCCTTACCACGTTTCCATCGAGGTCCTCCAGGTAAACCGTCCAAGGGTGAGGGTAGGCACCTACACGGCAAGTGACTGGCGCTGGATCCAGTTGCCCCGGGCACGAAACACAGAAAGACGGCTACTGGTCACTGCAGAACCTCACCCACCACCCTGGCTCATCTCACTGCCACTCTGACTCTAGCTGTGCGAGCCAAGTACTCGCCAACAGAGCTGAAAATTTCGACAAGATGCGAAAGACGAGCACTGGCCAATCGCTTAAGAGCCTGAGAGATCCGTGCATCCATCCGTGCCGCGGAAACGAATGATGAAACGTATTCATGTTGTGTAGCACGAACTCTGCCACGACATGTCTGGTTCGTGAAAGAAGCAGGAGCCGTAGGTAGTACGTCTCCTCCTGGAACTCGGCGCAGAACCTGGTCTAGCCCCAGCAGGCACAGCAGAGAGTGAGAGAGAGGAAACACACCGCAACCATCGTAGCACAAGATCACGCGCCAACCCAGTGGCTTTCCCAGTATTTCCACATCGTTGCCGAAATTGCCGCCCACACTGACTTCGGAGCCCCTGTTCTCTATCCTCAGGGAGAGTGGATGTGAAGGAACGATGTGAGATAATTTGCGAATTTCCTCACACAGGAGCTCTCCCGAGTCCCCCATACCCTTTCCTCTCGAAGATGCCTTTTGCGATCCCTAGAGGCCCTCCGTCAAGATGGCATCTACGAATCAGGCGTCCACATAAGCCAACGATCATGTAGCAAAATGCAAAACCTGATTTCCCCGACTTGGCCTGAAGCTGGTTGCAGCATCTTCGGAGTTGAGCATCACCACCAAACGATCTTTCATGCCGCTGACAAACTCACCGGAAGCATCTTGCAGAACGAACTTGCGGCCGCCCAGGAAAATTACGGCAGCATCCTGATTGAACGAAGGCTGCTGTATCGGACTCTATCGATCTTTGCTCGGATCCCTCCGCCGCACCAACACAAGAACAGTCTCCTGTTGGGGGGGCTCCTTGAACGAATGAATTCTCCCGACCCACTTCGCCCTTCTCAGCTTCCGAACCCGACAACTGAAGAGGAGATGGAGGCAGATGGCTTGTTTGAAACAACTCGGAAGACAGCCCTGGGGCTTCAAGACAGGTGCCAGCAAAAGGGGCTGGCAATGCTGGAACAGTTTGCAGTTCGCATTCGGATGGTTTATATACTCAGGCGCGGCACGCGTACCTGTCGAGTGTCGATAGGCATGGTCTATCGAGCTCTGTTGGTCTTATGCTGAGTTGTGTAGTTGCATTTGGTCGGAGCTGCCGGGAACCAGACGAGCCGAACTGCTTTCAAAAACCTTGAGCCTCCTTGATTGCAAGACCCTGACTTGTTCTCAGATTCATATCAACTCCAACGCTCCAAGCTGAGGACCCCAACTATCTGCACTCCATTTGCTGCTGGTGCCTGTTTGGCATCTTCGGTAAGCCGGTACAGGAGTGTGCCAACATCGCCAGAGGTGGTACCAACTCCGTCGAATCTCGAAATCCGCCTCGAGTCAGCATCAGTCAGCAGAGAGCTTCGACAAAAGCAGCAAGTTCACCAAAACCACGAAGGAGAGCGCTCAGCCATTTGGACTTCAGTCCAGGCCACACATCCTGCAGCGCCGCCCCTCCTGGCGCCTGCAGACTCTTCGTGAAGGCCTCCCAGGACAGAGAGACGAGAGAGCCCTCCCCTAACCTACCATGGCGTACCGTATCAGACAGCACAATATGTTACCATACAGTACAATGCACGCATACACACATACATGTCTACCTGTACATACATTATTAAGTTTTTATGCAGGTAGTGAGTTTCAATCTCACTCATGTAAACTTGCCGCCCAGCCGAATCGAAGCGTCTCTTGGAGCACGATGCTGGGGCACGTGCCTGCGCCATAGGAAGTGCATCATTGAGGAGCGCCTCCATGCCAGATTCTGTCACACGATTCGGTGGGCAGACCATGTCCAACCTCCTCAGTTCTGAGCACGAGGCAATGACTGCAAAATAAACGACTTCTTGGCAGTTCTGCTTTCCGGTGTCAACGTAACAAACCGGTCTCGTCGACCAGCTTTCCGAGCTCCCGGCAATCGCACCGACTGCCGCGAGATCCCATCCTTGAACGCTGCCATCACGGCTTCCGCAGCTTGATCGACCATGAGCCTGGCCTGCCATGTGCGCAAGAAAGCATAAATGTATGCAAAGGCTTTTAGGTTGATACATGCTTCTAGTTGCAATATACACAGACATGGTATGCAGTTCCTATGGTGGCTTCAGCGTCAAGCGCCTTCGTGCTACATAGGAAAACCGGCCCGTTACTACTCCTTCTCCTGCTGCTGCTCCTGCTCAAGCTGCTGCTCTTCTACAACAACAGCAACAACAACGACGACCACTACCACTACCACTACCACTACCACTACCACTACCACTACCACTACCACTACCACTACCACTACCACTACCACTACCACTACCACTACGACTACGACTACGACTACGACTACGACTACGACTACGACTACGACTACGACTACGACTACTACTACTACCACTACCACTACCACGACCACGACCACGACCACGACCAAGACCACGACCACTACCACTACCACTACCACTACCGCTACTACTACTACAACTACTACTACTTACTACTACTGTTACTACTACTACTACTACTACTACTACTACTACTACTACTACTACTACTACTACTACTCCTGCTGCTGCTGCTGCTACTACTACTACTACTCCTCCACTGCTACCACAACTATTACTCCGCCACTACCACCACGACCACCACCCTTACCATCACGACCACGACCGTGACCACGAGCGCGCGAAAAAAACGACGACGACTACTATTGCATCTAGTACACATACACCTGCTGCTGCGGCTGCAACGATAGGTGTTTCTTCCCCTGCTCCACAGCTACTGCTGCTGCTGCTACTGCTGCTACTGCTCTGCTACTGCTGCTGCTACAGCTACTGCCGCTGCTACTTGTACTAATGCTGCGCTAATTAGTTGCGTATACGTGTATCGTATATACGTTTTGTTGCATTTTGCCACAAGTAGAATCCAAGGAACTGAGTTGGGCGGAGCGATTTCTGTCGTCGCTTGCCGTGAGTGTTTCGACACGTCGCGGGTGGATGGGTGAACCTCGGGCAAAGATTAGTTCAAGCAAGTTCATCAGGCGTCTATTGCCGCTGCTACGTCTCTACTGGCATTGCCAATGCACATCAACGTAACATCAACGTACCCAGGACAACACGGCCAAAGACAGCAAGCATTCAGTGTACGACGGAGCAGCAGATGGTGTGGGCACAACTTGCAAACCTTCTGGGTGGGTCATCCGATCAATTCCGGTCGACAATCCCACCTATCGGGCCTATCTACCAGAGCAAATCACTTGTCATGTTCAGTGTGCTCAGGAGAAACTTGAGGTCGATTCCAGAGCCAAAACAAGCCTCTTACCATCTTACCATCTTCAAGCTGCAGATCATTCTTGAAAGTCAGGCCCTGGCAGGTCTCAATCCACTCCGCGCAGCAGGTAGCACAAAGCTGCAAAGACTGCCTGAGGCACTGGACAAGTGTTGTACCGTACCTGCCTTACGTTACCGCTGCTCTGCTTTACTGCGGAAGTCGAAATTGCAAGCCTGGAGGAGGAAGGAGCAAAAGCATTAGTTACAATTTGGTACACTTCCCGGTCCTGGCTTGACTTAAATTGGGACGAATGCATGAACTTCTTCGGGAGTTCAGCTGAAGATGGGTAGACGAGACTCCAGCAGCAATCGCAGCTAAGACCAGCAAACTGTGCGCTGGCTGTCGACGCGGTAACATGACCATGGCAGCACAGCGCAGCACTGCAAAAACAACCGGAGGAGCAGCTCCTGCACATAATATTCCACTGGAGCCTAGCCTTCGGCTTCGACAGCTACAAGTAGCTATTCTCGTTGGCTGTCTGGTGTGAACGGACGGTTTCATAACCAAGGAATGGCAACTGATGTCGTTCCGAAAGCGTTGTCACGGTGCTGTAGGCACGGAGCAGCAGATTGCAACCGCTGTTGTGAGTTGGCAGGGCAACGCCAGCAGACACAGCACGGGCTTGAACAATCCGCTACGTCAAGCTCTGCCGGAGTTCCTCTATGCTGAACACAAGCAAAAACCAACCTTGTCAACTCCCAAACAATTCGAAGGTCATGACGTGCTCGCGCAGTTAAAACCTAATGCGAGCGATCCGGGAGCGCGAGAGCTCAACCTTTTGATGGCTCATGTGAAGCAATGAGCACGTCATTGCGTGTCAGGCATTATCTAGCGGTGAACAGAGAGTTCAGGTCAACGATGGTCAACGACACATCGCTGACGCCGCACGTATACGAGCTTCTTTCGGCCCGGAAACTTCCTCCGACGAAAACGACTTCTCAGGCGTGGCCCAACGATCGCTCGCAGACTATGAGCTGGTCCTGGCAACAAACCACGATGCAGGTTTGGAGGCATCCAGGGGAGAGCCAGACCGGTCCTGAATGTTAGGTCCGCAGCTATTGAAAGGTGATCGCTCGGGTGAAGTACCTTAAGGTGTCCGGACGCTATACCCTGCAGGCTAGATTCCCTTCATGTCATGTACATCTATGTATGTCACACTTCAGCCTCAATGCAGGTATCGTGCGTAAACGAACTTCCAGCCATTTTAGCATACCCGTTGAGGATTTCGTATCGTGATACATACGTGTGTGCTGTACACATCTCCATACGAAATCACCCCGAGGTACTTAGGAAGCCGACCGATTGAAGCGCTGAAACTGAGATCTGGGCACTGGGAAGCCCACCGTGGACCTCCACGTCCTGATCGCTCGCAGAGAGTGGACAAACAGAGATTGAGCCTCAGCAGTTTACCGTCCTTTTCAGCAGGCGCAAGCCTGTTCACAGCAGTATCAGTATGTGGCACCATCCTTCGAACTGCCGCACCAAGCCCTGGACAGGCACTTCGTTGCTTGTAGTTGGCCATCTGTGAGAATGTAGTCCTGGAGCTGGAATGCTGTATCGACCCGAACCACACGAATTGGAGCGACCCGTCAGTCACATCACTCACGAGACGCCGGAATGAAAACAGATGATGGACAGACAACATGTGCCAACAGCTGATCCGGCATAGAATTAGAATGAGAAGTCCAGAATGCCGCTGAAGTCGTGAACATAGTTGGTGAACTTCTGCGGGGTATTAGCATACCTTGACATGTCACGCACCACAGCAACGAACAGCACAGCGCAACACAGGGTGCGGACACATCCACCAGCGCTCCCAGTGGATTCTGTAGAGCAATCCCAGAGCCTCGGCATTCGCAATAACAAGACAGGCAAAAACATTACAAATCGGCTCGTTGGAAAGACTTTTGCACTTTGGCTTCTTCGGGGCCGAGACTTCCCCAATATCACGGCACGAAGATCTTCTGTTCGCTTTTTTCTTGTACAACTTGCTGCTGAAGTTGCCGCTTAGAATTTGGAAAGCTTAACGTGTATCCGTTCCCCTGCTTTTCGATGTCCATCTCTGCTGCCACCGTGCGGTTTCGCATCGAACAGCGGGACTACAGGGCTGCGGCTTCTTTTCGATGTCGTGCAACTTTGACAGTTCGGCGACGCTTCTGCCTCTAGAACCTGTAGGAGTCATCAATCCTTGTGTGTGGGTCCTGAATGTCCCTGGAAGTCAACAATTTGGGACTTTGGGCCTCCTCGGGCTTTCTCGCCAGGGTTCCGTGTGTCTCCACCTGCAGGAGTCATCGCTGTGTCGCCAGATTTTCACTGCACATTGTGGGTGCACATCGTACTCCCGCCGCAGCGCAGTGCACCCCTGTGTACTTGGATTTGTCTTGAGTGGTCTTGGGAGTGCTGGAGGTCCTGGAGTGGGCTACCACCGCTGGTCTTGCTGTCAGTCATCTCGCGGTGCTATACCACATTGCTTTTCAAAGCAATCTGGCAAAGACAAGTTGCGACATCTCGATCAGTTGCCCTTTGTTGAATCACTGACGACGGCTCTTCCGCCTGATTCGCACCAATCGTTTGCTTCTTGTTACGTTCCTGCTGCCGCGTGGGCTGATGCACTGGTGCGACACACAATCGCGCAGGTCTCGGCGGCGTGTTTGTCGTGTCGCACTGGCCCTTCACTCCTGAGGCCAGCGCCCTTCTGCCAAGCTTCCCTCGGCAGAGGTTCGACGACATCGGTCTCATCAGCCTGCATTCGGGGACAGGCTGAAAAGGCTAAGGCTAAGGGATTTCCGGGCATGGCACCTCCATGGAGGGCACCGACGACTTCGGAATCTCTTCAGCCTCCGAGGTCAAAGCACAAGATGAACGCGCATCAGTCCCCGAGCGTGATACCCGGACGGAGCCTCTCCCGTGTCAGCTGAAGCCTCCTCATCTCGCCAGGCGAACTTGGCGACCAGACCAGGCCCCGCGAAAGCTTGTGAGACTCCATCTGTGTCCGTGTCTCAACTCTCGATCCTGGCTCCACACTTGGGAAGAGGTTTCCCAATCCTCGTGGTCGCTGGGAACCTGTGCCGGTACGGCAGTCAAGTCGCAAAGCGGAAACAGTTTTCACATGCGTACATCGGATCAGCTTTCGCAGTCTTCCCCGGATCTATGATTAATAGATCTAGAATATGCAAATGACTACCACCATACAGCCACGGATGATGCACCAGCGTATAACACGTCTGCCAACAGCTCCGGACGTCTCAAGCTCAAGAACCCACCAAACATCACTTGCACGGTTTCGAAGTGTGCAAAATGCTCGCGACCCCAAGCTGGCCTGCCCCGTGAGCAGCAGCTGCACCTGGAAGCAGCCCGGAGTCAGTGATTCAACCTAAACCACAACCCAGTCTATTGCACTAAGCCAGGAACTGCTCCAGTCTCCGGCAGGCAGTTTAGGTCACCAGCGAAGATTATGTGGGGAAGTTCGCCTCTGAGTCATTGCAATCAAACAAACGCTGCCCCAACTCCCTGCATCAGGATCTCACTTGTTCTGACTGGGAATCCGTCCGGCCTTTTGCATCTTTGTGCTGGTTGCGCAACTCCTGTACCTGTTCATGAACCCTTGTCTGGTGCAGGTACAAGTGCTGACGACAGGTCTACCGGGCTGCTTGCAACGCGAAAACTGTTGCCGGCTGCCGCTGCAAGCTTACCGTCAAGCTTGAAAAGAAAAAGCAGAACCTCTATCATCATCTATTCTGCCATCGCGCTGTAGCGCAAGCGGTGTCACTGCGGCACTGCTGCTCTCCCGTGACACAATCTGATTGAACGTGTGCCAGCTTGTCTCGCAGCACATGCAACGCAAGATTGAAGCAACAGCAGGAAAGCCAGGAGGCCTGGAATTGGCCTAAACGCGTCTCGTGAAGATGGCATCGGCTCTTGGCGCCACAGTCACACATGCAGAACAAGCACAAACGCACAGACGCACACACCCACACACGAACACACACGCAAACACACACACACACACACACAGACAGAGACAAACGGGCACACACACACACACACACACACAGACACAAACACAAACACAGACACAGACACACGCACACGCACACACATGCATACACATGCACGCGCACGGGCACGCGCGCCCACCCGCCATCCAGTCACACACACGCACCGGCGAACATTCGAGGCAGGGCACTTCATGCAGCAGGCACATGATCTGCAGAAGGCGTATGTGCCTCAGGCATACATAGTGAGAAGGCGTTCTGGCTGCCAGAAAAACCGTGCCTGGCATTGGGGTGGTAGAAGAGATGCCTTTGGTTTCGCAAGGCTGCGCACTGGTGAGCACGAGTTGTGCATAGCAGCTGTAAGGCCGAAGCGTGTTGGCGAGCACAAGTATCCTGCCAGATGCCCTGTGCCTGCAAGGCTGGACAGCTCGACACATCCGAGGTAGACAACACATAAGATGGACACAAGCAGTCATCCACAGCCTCACAACTGTCAGCTGGAAGACCGTGGACATCCTTGGCCTGAGTTCGCCATGCTTGCCGTCGCAGTCAGAAGACGCTCGTGGCATGAGGCAGCTGCAGAATTCCTGTCAAGAAGTCCGGCCACTTGGCAGCCACCTGGTCTCGAGTTTCGAGACTCGCAAGACAATGCAAAGACATGATACAGGCTGACACAGGGGAAATTCATCGCAAGGCCGCAGCTTCCTGCAGTTGTGGCCGAAAAGCTTGGCTGGTCCGCAGCAAGTTCCTGGGCAGTAGGGCAATCCGAACAGTGTCTCATGGCCGCACCGTTTGCGTTGACAAACTACGAGCCACATCCGTCCTGAACAAGCAGTCTTTTTCTTGGAGCACCTGCCATCTGCGGCTTTCACTTCTTAGTGTGCATGCAGCATGCTCGAAGTCGCATGCAGAACTACCCCACCACTGTTTTGCTACGCGGCGTTCGTTCCAGAAGCTCCTTCTCGCTCTCGACTCTCGGGTCACCGAGGGTTCGTCTAGAGAATGCAGTCTCTCCGAGTGGATGCCCTTCATGAGAGCGCTTCTTCACGGGCGTCCGGATCCTTCTGGTCCTCCCCTGTCGCCTTCGTCTTCCCTCGGTGCTGCCGGGGAGTGCGGAGGCTCTGGTAGGTCGTGCCGCTTTTCTTTTAGAACTCGAAGGACGAGACAATCTCGTTTGTGGCACAAGATGAGGAAGCTCTTGGCGGTCGAGAGCTACTGCAGCGGCGGGCGGGTTCCAGGCCTGACAGTGCTCGACGTTATGTGCTTCCGCCCCTCTTAACGAGCTTGGAAGAGCCAAGGGAATCATTCCAAGGTTCTCTGAGAGTCTGGCTTTCTCAGCAGAGCAAACACATTGAGAGGATACCTGCGCAGCTCTCATTCGACACGTGCTTCTGCAGTTTCAAGTTTCATGGCCACCTGGGAGCATCTTCTTTCTCATGGAGCTCCTCCTGGCGCAGAATCTGCTCCGGTCTCCAATAGGGCAGGAGCATGCCCATCAAGACCTGAAAGTCTGCCCATTTGCCGCGCTGCAGGCGGCATCTCCCGAAACAAGCAAGGCCAACTCAGGAAGCTGCTCCATTCACCAAAGAAAGGTCACCTGGTGAAAAAAGACGCTGGACCTGCAAAACGGTGCAACAAGCACCAATCTTGTCCCCGAAAAGTCAATTAGACTGGAAAAAAAAACATTCACAAAGATTCACCGAGTGCACCTCGAGGCCCGCATGCTTGGCGAGTGCTGCCACCCCTTTGGGTGTGTATCGGTAGTAGTCGTGTGGGGACCTGAGCCCCGCCGAGGCCGAAGAACTCAAGGCTCAGCAAGGCTCTGCTGGTCTGGGTGAGGTGCCCATGGTACCGCTGGTACATCGGAGCCTCAAAACAGATCGCCACAGCTTGGACGGCAGGAAACTGCACCGTCTTGATGTCAAGCGGCAGCCCACACAATGAAGCCACCCGGTCGCAGAGTCCTGGCCAACGTCCTCGACACAATGCATTCTTGAAGCCATAATCTCTTGAGAATGGCAAGCGCTAGGGTCCGGATAGCCAACCAGGGCTGCGAGACGTGCTCGAAGATGAATGGGCATAGAATGAGATCATGGGACTCAGGATCCACACCTCCACCGTGCAGAAACCACTGAGATATAAGCTGTGCAAGAAACTGGGACTGTGCTGAGGTGATTGCCGAATCTGTCCTCCGACTCCATATCACCCCAGTAGTGGAGAGTACCACCAGGAAAGCGATGACGCCCAGGCCTGGGCACCGCAAGCACGTGAGGTGGTTGGTCTAGCAGGAGAAAGGAGTTCTCTGCTGGAGCAAGCTGCTTGGGTACCACACATATATCACCAGATATCGCATTCGTAGCAGAACTTGGGCTCCGACAGGCCCATGTTGGGGTTCGAGGGTGTCGGCCTCGGCAGCTCCCCTTCGTCCCTGAGAGGCTTTGGAATTGTGGCGGCGGTTTCAGGTCCTGGCTCGGAGTAGGAGTAGACATCCATCCACTGGCAGGCCCCCTTCGAAGATTCAGAGGCTCAGGGAGCACAGACACGCAGCTCCGAGTGCGGCACGGCAAAGGCGCTCGCCAGCAGGAAGGGCTGATCCCACTCCTTTCGAGCGCCAAGAAAGTCTGTGGGATGCAAAGCCGGAGAAACGACGGAGACTCAGAGCCGGTCCAGGCACCGCTCCATGAGGCCCCCCGACACGATCTCGTCTTTCACCTTCTCGAACTTCAACGACGACAGTACTCCGCTTCGGAAGCTAAAACTGGCCAGTGCGAGGCCTCCAAGATGAAGTGGGCAAGCTGCATGCGGTCAACCTGTCCGCAGCACGAGCCCGAGCTGTAGACTCGGCTGCCTCTTCAACACACCTCTATCAGTGGCCTCTCCCCCATTGAGAAGACCAACCATTCCCGGCGCAGCAACAAAGCACAGCACGCTCTGGGATGCACGCTGAAGAATACAGCGACCACGATGTGTGCAGTGTGATACTATGATATTCTGTGCATGCAACATGTCAACATGTCGACCTTCAAGGCCGTCGCTTTGCGCGCTCCCCGTGGCTGCTTGTAAAACAATGGTGGCAGTGAAAGATCAAGTTGGATCGTCCAGGACCAGCGGATATCGGCACTGAAGTTCCGAAGGCGAAGCGCTCACGTGCGCCCACTCACCGCGATGCGAAAGGGGACACAGGAAGCGCGCGTGCAGCCACATTGGGCGGCAGCCGCAGAGCTTCATGCATTGTGCAAAACGCGTGTCCGTGATGGCGTCTCCTGTGCCCCAACTAAAAAGCTAGCGGCTCCTTCGACCGCGAAGGGCAATGGACTGCATGTGCATGTGAAGTATTGCGAAGCCATGGTATTATTACATTGTATGAACTAACGCGTGGATGTCAGCTACGCTGCCCAGCCTGCAAGGGGTGGTCCATTGGCATCATGGACCGGAGTTCATCTTCGCGGCTCCTCTGCACACCTATGGCAAGGCATCCATGCCCTCTCGTTCGCGAATGTTCAGGGCATGCGTCAACCGAGAAGCCTGATCCCCTCGAACTGATTTGCCCTGAACTCAAACAGAAAGCCGGCAAGCAACAGAATGCATAGTACACCGAAACACTGACAAAATGCATCGGCGCAGCTCAATCAGGCAATCATCCAACAAAGAATTTGACGAGCCTTCAGAATGTCGGTCAAAATCCTCGCAATGCACATACAACTAAGTGTCTGCCTGCATATCCCTTTTGAACAGGGGTCGCCTCGACGACAATCTTCATCCAGTCATACTCCTTCGGTTCACCTCGACTGGAGCAGCGAGAAAAACACGAAACAAAGAGATGAAAGCTTCGGCAAGCTTCCGGCCCTCAGCAGCATGGCTCTGCAACATCTGCAGTGACAAGAGATGATCCTCCCGGGGCCGACGGCCGAAGCCAGCAAAGGCTGCTAAAGTACGAGTGGTCGCATTGAGCAAAGGATTGCAGTCAACATCAACGGCAGTATCAGCTGTGTGTGCGCGAGCGGGTGCGTGTGCGTGTGCGTGTGCGTGTGCGTGTGCGTGTGCGTGAGCGTGAGCGTGAGCGTGAGCGTGAGCGTGAGCGTGAGCGTGAGCGTGAGCGTGAGCGTGAGCGTGAGCGTGTGCGTGTGCGTGTGCGTGTGCGTGTGCGTGTGCGTGTGCGTGTGCGTGTGCGTGTGCGTGTGCGTGTGCGTTTGAGTTTGCGTGTGCGTGTGCGTGTGCGTGTGCGTGTGCGTGTGCGTGTGGGTGTGGGTGTGGGTGTGGGTGTGGGTGTGGGTGTGGGTGTGGGTGTGGGTGTGGGTGTGGGTGTGGGTGTGGGTGTGGGTGTGGGTGTGGGTGTGGGGTGGGTGTGGGTGTGGGTGTGGGTGTGGGTGTGGGTGTGGGTGTGGGTGTGGGTGTGGGTGTGGGTGTGGGTGTGGGTGTGGGTGTGGGTGTGGGTGTGGGTGTGGGTGTGGGTGTGGGTGTGGGTGTGAGTGTGGGTGTGGGTGTGGGTGTGGGTGTGGGTGTGGGTGTGGGTGTGGGTGTGGGTGTGGGTGTGGGTGTGGGTGTGGGTGTGGGTGTGGGTGTGGGTGTGGGTGTGGTGTGCCTTGGTGTGCCTTGGTGTCTCGGTGTCTCTGTGTCTCTGTGTCTCTGTTGTGTCTGTGTCGTTCATCGTGCACGCACTCGTGAATAATTCCATCTCCTTCGACGAATGTCTGTATCATGCATCTTCCTTTGCTTCATGACACTCAGAACCATCGCTAAGGCCTCAAAACAGACAATTAACACCGAAATCGCGATGAATGCCGCTGTGACATCAGTTACCACACTTGTTGAAGTAGTGGTATTCTCCGTCGTCGAAGCCCGAGTCACCGTGTTGGGGGTGGCGGGTTGGCGAGGTGTCCGTGGCGATCGTGGCTCTGTGGTGGTGAGAGTGTGGCTGTTGGTGCTGCTTGGACCCGGCGCTTCCCAAATGCTCGGGATGTTCGAGATGTGCTTCGGGAGACTGCTAATTTGATGACGGCTCGCACCGACGACTGCATTGCTGTAGATTTGTCAAGGGGCAGCTGACCCCTCCTTTGCTCATGCTGAAAGAACTTCCACACGAGCCTGCCAGCCCTGCACCGACACCTCCACTGTTGCTTCCTGGCTAACACCCTTGAGCTGGACATTCTCCATTTCAATACAAACCGAGCAGACCTTGCAGATGTGAAGACCTAAGACTGCGACCGGAAGTTCAGCTCTTCGGAGACACGACCATGAGACAACCATGAGCGAACTAGGATGACACCAAGGCTTTGCCCCCGTGAACAAGCGACAGAATCTTACGCACGGTCTTGCTATCATGTAAACCTTTGTAAGCACGAGGAGATCCGCCCCCTTGACTCAGTATCCAACACCGGAGCATCTGCAAAATACGGATCAATACCGACTCAAAAGCTTACACAACGACGGACGCTGGGGCTACTCGACGTCTGCCTGCTTGTCAAGGAAGATCTGGTCGCGAAGGGGCAGATCCTTCTTGGCATACAGCAGCAACTGAAGCCTGCCAGCGGACCGCAAGACGTGTTTTCTCCCAGGGTTCGGGCAATTATATTGCCTCGCAAAGAACTCCGCAGCACAGCTGCGCCTGGGTGCTGTGAAAGATTCCTCATGACTAGGCCCAACCTACTGACGGACACTGGAATCTTGTCTAGTGCGTTTACACGACTAGCAGTTGAGTAGCTTGCCCTGAGGTGCAGAGCACCCTCTCACGCAGAGCTTGTGGAACTGCAGCCTCGAGGCTAAGGCAACGGTGGTCTTTTCCAGAGAAAGAAGCTGGGACCGCAACCGTGTGAGCTGCGGAGTGAAGTTCGGTCAGCACCAGGCGCCAAGCC